AAACGTTAGAGAGAAGGTAACATTTGAGCTGAGGGCGCGCAGGGTGGATAAGAGTTCCAGCGCGGCCGAGGCGGGTGGATCACGAGGTCAAGAGATCGAGACCATCCTGGTCAACATGGTGAAACCCCTTCTCTACTAAAAATACAAAAAATTAGCTGGGCATGGTGGCGCATGCCTGTAATCCCCGCTACTCAGGAGGCTGAGGCAGGAGAATTGTCTGAACCCAAAAGGCGGAGGTTGCAGTGAGCCGAGATCGCGCCATTGCACTCCAGCCTGGGTAACAAGAGCGAAACTCCGTCTCAAAAAACAAAGAGTTCCAGCGCGAGCGCGTACCTGGGAGCTGGGTGGGACTGTGGCGGGCGGCACTGGAGAAAAAAAGGAGACAGGCATTCTGAATAGCATATGCAGGAGACAGAGACAGAAATGCTGTGTCTGCAGGAGGCAAGACAGTTCATTCTGAGAGGGAGATATAGCTGGAAAGATAAGTAGCAGCCCGATTGTGCAAGGCCATGAATACCAGGTTAAGGACTTTGGACTTTATCCTGGGATTCCAATGTGAGTTCTTAAACAGAAGAGTAAGTAGCTGGGTCCGAAGTTCGCGTCAGGAGGATCACTGCGGTTGCAGTAAGGTATAGAACCAGGTGGCCGCGTCCTGGCCCGCGGGGCTGGCAAAGGCGCGGCGTGTTGCACTTCCACCCGTAGGGGGCACACTGAAGGACTGAACGTCCACCCCGCCCCGGTCCTCGACTCCCTACTCCGACGCGCGGTGCTCGGAACTCAGCTAGCCTGCCCGGACGCTCCCCTCTCGGGCTTCGGCTATTCCGCCTGGACGCGCCTCCGTGCGTCACGTCCGCTGTGGCGTGAGGCTAGTTAGAGCTGAGGAGGGGAGGGAAACGAAGCCTTTGCGCCTGCGCCAAGGCTCGCTCGTCCGCGGTAGAAGCTGAGGGGCCGGTGCTGGGGATCGATCGCAGGGGGACACTTTTACGTTTTACACGCGCCTACACGTCTGCACGTTTCTGAGTCCGCATGGTTGCCTTCTCTTTGCTGAATGACTATAGGTGTTTTGTTTCGTCCCAAGAGATACAGGCAAACAGTCCTGTGGTGCGGGAGTGCTCCTTGACCTTAGCGGTGCGGACCCTGGCACTCCCTCTAGATCTCTCCGCCGCGAAGCACAGTCTCTTCACTGCACTTTCCCTCCAGTTGCTTGCCCCGTCTGCGGCCCTAACTGCCATGCTAGTGAAAACTTGCCCTGGCCGCTAAGCATGCCCAGTCCAGGCTATAATTCATGTTTCTAGGGCTTGTTTTTCTCTGCAGTCAAATCAGAGATTCGGAGTTGAAGGGGACCTTAGAGGTCAGCATCCCCAACCCCTTGGCCCTAGTGAGTGAACGTACGAATTTTACTTGCACACCCCGAAAATCTCCCGTTTCCTGGGATCAACGTTAATTATGTAATCCTGGAAGTTTCCTGCATGCAAGTTTCATTCCTTCAATATTTGTTGCTACCTACTGTGTGCAGACATTGTAGGTCCTGGGGATACGATTAAAACCGGTGATGAACGAAACGCACAGGATTGTTGCTCTTGGCCAAGGGCGGTGACTCACGCCTGTAATCCCAGCACTTTGGGAGGCGGACGTAGGCGGATCACAAGGTCAGGTGTTCGAGACCAGCCCGACCAATATGCTGACACCGCGTCTCTACTAAAAATACAAAAATTAGCCGGGCGTGGTGGCGTGCACCGGTAGTCCCAGCTACTCTGGAGACTGAGGCAGGAAAATCACCTGAACCTGTGAGGTAATGGTAACAAGTGAGCCAAGATCTCTGCATTCCAGCCTGGGCGACAAAGTGATATTCTGTCTCAAAAAGTGTCGGTCTCCGGCCCGGCGCGGTGGCTCACGCCTATAATCCCAGCACTTTGGAAGGCCGAGGTGGGTGGATCACGAGGTCAAGAGATCGAGACCATCCTGGTCAACAAGGTGAAACCCTGTCTCTACTAAAAATACAAAAATTAGCTGGGCATGGTGGTGCGCGCCTGTAGTCCCAGCTACTCGGGAGACTGAGGCAGAATTGCTTGAACCCAGAAGGTGGAGGTTGCGGTGAGCCGAGATTGCACCATTGCACTCCAGTCTGGGTAACAACAGCAAAACTCCATCTCAAAAAAAAAAAAAAAAAAAAGATTGTCGGTCTCTAGGAGTTTATATTCTATTTGGAGGCAAAAGGGAAACCAACAACCAAAAACAAAGGCCTGATTTGATTTAGTGCTAGCAGGAAATAAAAAGGACATACAGTAGAAATACACAGGTGAGAATTACTTGGAGTGATAGGAGAAGGCCTCTGGGAGGTTGTGATGTTTATAACCAGCCAAGTGAACAGTTAGGAGTTCTGGGCTGAGAGAAGAACAATGTTCTTGAGGCAGGTTGTTGTTTTCTAGGAATAGATAGAAGGCCAGTGTGACTGGAGTGTGGTGAAGCAAGGCTGTGAATGGTGAAAAAACGTTGAACGTGAGCAGGAGCCAGATGCATGCCTTTGTGGTGTACGGAAGAAGTTTGAAATGTATTCTTTTTTTTTTTTTTTTGAGACGGAGTTTCACCCTTGTTACCCAGGCTGGAGTGCAATGGCGCAATCTCGGCTCACCGCAACCTCCGCCTCCTGGGCTCAGGCAATTCTCCTGCCTCAGCCTCCCCAGTAGCTGGGACTACAGGCATGCGCCACCATGCCCAGCTAATTTTTTGTATCTTTAGTAGAGACGGGGTTTCACCATGTTGACCAGGATGGTCTCGATCTCTTGACCTCGTGATCCACCCGCCTCGGCCTCCCAAAGTGCTGGGATTACAGGCTTGAGCCACCGCGCCGGGCCCAAAATGTATTCTAAGAGCAATGGGAGGCCAAGCAATAGTTTGTGGTACGGGCTTGATCTTGGTTCATTTGGAACCATACAAACCAATCTTTTCCCCCAAATCACAAGCCTTTAAATATTTGAAGAGAGCTAATATATTCTTCTGAGACCCCTTCTCATGCCCCCAGCTCCTCTCCAAGCTGGAGTTTCTCTACATCTTCTTATCCAAAGGATTTATGGATGGATTTCAGAACATCATTCCAAACGCTTTGAAAGTGAAGAGTTTTTCAAATGTAAATCATGTATGTATGTTTTCATTTCTAAAGTAAAAAAGTAGAGATGGGTCTTGCTAGCCTGGTCACGAACTCTTGGGCTCAAACCCCTCAGTCTTCCAAAGTGTTGGGATTACAGGTGTGAGCCACTGCGCCTGGCTGGTGTGTGTGTGTGTGTGTGCGTGTTTTGAGATGGAGTCTCATTTTGTTGCTCAGGCTGGAGTGCAGTGGCACAATCGCAGCTCACTGCCACCTCTGCCTCCTGGGTTCAAGGGATTCTCCTGCCTCAGCCTCCCAAGTAGGTGGGATTACAGGTGCTCACCACCATGCCCAGTTAATTTTTCTATTTTTAGCAAAGACAAGGTTTCACCATGTTGGCCAGGCTGGTTTCGAACTCCTGACCTCAGGTGATACACCTACCCTGTCCTCCCAAAGTGCTGGCATTATAAGGCATGAACCACCTTGCCCACTGGCCTGTATATTTTTAAAGGAAATAACTGAAGACTTTCTTTTTTTTTTTTCTTTTTCAGATTTTCACAGAGGTCCTGTAAAGATTATGAACCACTGAACATTTCTCATCTACGTGATCCTGGCTGTTGTTCTTAGGAATAGCAGGACACAATGTCAGCTTCAACCCAAGCTAGTTCCTCTAAACTGCATTCTTATCGGTGAAATGAAAATAATAGGGTTGCTATGGGGATTAAATCAGATGATACTCCAGAAGTGATCATTAATGATAAACCATGAGGTGTCTGCCACAAAGTGCCACTATTATAAACAGTGGCCTGGAGGGACAGTTTATATATACTGGTCCTTTAGCATTCCACTTTCACTGAGTGCCTGTTCTGTGTGGAGGACCTGGTGAAAAAAATCTGCCTTCCAGTTTATTATGTAGTTGAAAGAACCACAAAAGATACAAAACACTATAGACCAAATGCCCTGAGAGAGGAATAAGTGCAGTGTTCTGGGAGCTTTAGAAGAGGTCTCAGTATCCATTGGAGGAAAGTGCTTATTGGAATTCATATTTGGAGAGGGTTGAAAAGATGAACAAATGCAATCTAACGCACACAGAAAATCAATACTACATGTACACATTTTATTCTTGATGACGTGGAAAGACCAGTTAAAAACACTGCGATCACTTCTATTGCCCAGCAGATACTTAGCAGGTTTCGAGACAGAGCACCTGTATATTTTGTCCGGTCTGTTTACTATACATTGCGTGCTGGGCAGTCCTTATCTTTGTGTTCGGGAACAAAGTACACACGCCCCTTTCCGAAACGAAAGGCCCAGGGACTCAGAGAGGGGTAGGAGCCCTCACGGCTAGACCACACAGTGGGGGCTTCTTTACCGTAGTTCTTACCCCCTCTGCAGGCCCCACTTTGCCAGGGTTCGATTTCTCGGGCCCTTTCGCCCCTCCTCAGGAGTCCCCAGGAGCGCAACCACAGCCCGGTCAGGCGCCCTGCCTCCCTTCCCCACTCCCCCCGCCCCCAGCTTCCCTCCTCCTTCACCGGGAGCCGGAAAACCCGGAGCGAACCAGCCCAGCCCGGCAGCGCATGCTCAGTAGCGCGCAGGTTCAGTTTGCTAGTAGGAAGCTCCAGCGCTACACCGGCGGCGGCAGCGGCGGCACCTCAGGGCAGCCAGATTCCCCAACAACGACCTCGGGTCCTTCCCCTTCCCCGCGAAACCCCCTCCCCCAGCTCCGCCCCACCCGAGGGCTCTTGCGTTTCGGAGTCTCAACTGCGCGGAGCGGGCGCCGCGGCCAGAGCGTCCCTCCACACGTCCTCCCCCAGCCGCCAGCTCTGCCGCGGGGCCAGGCCGGACCCGGGAGTGCAGCCCCGGCAGGCGGCGGCGGCGTAGCGGGCCGCCCGGGGCGGCGCCGGCGGGCCAGGGAGGGGCGGGGGGGGCCTGGCCCCGGGGCGGTGGTGCGGGATGCCGCCGCCTCCGGGTCGCATTCGTTCTCCACGGCTAGTACCCGTGTCGGGTGGGTGGCTGGGCGTGGGCCTCGCCCTTCAGCCCCCTCGCCAGGGCTAGCCCGGCTGCGCGGCGCCCGGAGGGGGCCGGGCCGTCCGGTGGGGCCGCGGCCCTATTCCGCGCAGCGAGCTCGCCCTCTCGCGGCTCCCCGGCCGGGCCGCCGCCGCCCCTCTCCCCGCCCAGAGGCGCCCTGGGGGCACCATGCAGGCGCAGCAGCTGCCCTACGAGTTTTTCAGCGAAGAGAACGCGCCCAAGTGGCGAGGACTGCTGGTGCCTGCCCTGAAAAAGGTGAGGAGCACGCCGGACCCCGCTTCCCAGCCGCAGCCCCCCAGCGCGGGCGCCGAGCAGGCGCAGGGGAAGGGCTGGGGAGGCGGGGCGCGCGCGCAGGGCCGTCTTTCTTCCCTGTCTCGCCGCGTCTCCGAAAGGACGGCGCACACGGGGAGGTCCCCCACACGGCTGGCTCTCAGTGTTGACATCCACCCGTAGTGTGGGAAGGCCGCGGGGAGCCGCGGGCAGTTGCTCCGAATAATCCAACCCCGAGAGGTGAATGCTTTGCCCTTTGATTCCGAGACAACGGTTGGAGAAGCCTCAGTTTTCAGTGGAGGTCAAAGCAGGCCACTTTTCCGCCTTCTCGGTCTTAGCCCGGAGCTGTTGTCAGCCTCATGTTTTAGGTGTCCAGTATGCTCGTTTTAGTGGCTTGAGAATGCCCTGGCCGTAACGCTTGCTCTAAGGAATTGCGAGCTCGCCTGCCAGCAGGAGCGTGGCCTGCTCCGCTCGTCCTCAGTAATCACTCTCTGTTCTCCTGATCTCCCCTGCTCCTCGGATTAACAGGGGCTGGTGCACATGCTACCAATTTCAGGGGTTTTGTTTTGTTTTTGCGGCATTCGAGATTCTTGGTGCTGTCATTTGGCTTGTTAAGAATTTTTAGTCTTTGTATGTTTAAGTTTGCTGTGTTTTTAAATGTTTTAGTATAATTAGGAAATGTTACATTTTTAAAGCTTCTAGAGCAACAGTGTACTAGACTATTTTTGTTTCCTTTTCTTCATTTACCTTTTCTACAAAGATTGCTTTACTCATCTAAGAGTGTTTCTAAATCTGTTTCTTGCTGCTCGAAGACTCTTTCATGTTAATTAGTTAACATATAGTTTTGCTTCTACTAAGAATGGAGATTATGTTGTACCTTTTATGCTAAGCATTAAAAGGTGTCTGATAGTGCTTAAAGGCCAGTAACTTTTACTTTCCCCTTTGCCCTGTTCTCTTGTCCCTCTTGCTATCTTACAGTGGAAACTATTTGGTTTGTTAGGAGAATTTGCTTATGTATTTCTGACTTAAGTTACTGACATTTTCCCCTTCAGGTGTCTGACTAGTCACGAACACCTATGTGATTTTTCTTTTTTTTTTTTTTTAAAGAAAACCAAAAAGATGCCATATATCCTTTTCTTTTCTTTTTTAAATAAGATGGGGTTTCACCATGATGGCCAGGCTGGTCTTGAACTCCTGACCTCAGGTGATCCACCCACCTCGGCCTCCCAAAGTGCTAGGATTACAGGCGTGAGCCACTGCACCCAGCCGCCATATGTCTTATGTACTTTAATCCTTAGAAATCCCGTCAGGTTCTCACTACTTACTTTTGCTTTACCTGCAAGTTTGACTTCTTAGCGTGTAATGGAAGGGGTTTAGGAGGTCTCTGTGCTGCCAGAAGCTGATGTCCAGGTAGGGTAAGGGAAGACAGGGAAATTGTTTAAAAACCTGTAAAGGAACTCATAAAGCATTGCCAAATAGGGGCCATTTTGCTTAGAGGCAAAAACAGCTCCTATCCCGGGGGAATCACCAAGCTATCAGCTTAGGATCTTTTGAAGTAGTGGAAGAATACTGTAGGAGTTGACAGACCTTGTTTAATTCTGCCATGCTGGTGGCCCTTGCTGAAATCTGTCCCTAGAAGCATTTTGTTTGGCTGGCACAGTGTTGTTTTATTTTTAAATGTAATTAGTTGCTGGCATTTGAAAATGGGAGATATTACATAAAATCTGAATTTTCAGCTTTTCTTGAAGAATAGGAAGTTCTTGCTAGTTAGGGCCTGTATTCCAGCAAGGCACTAAACTGCTGGAGGTGAGTAAATGGTTGTCCTCTTTAGACAAGGCATGTATCTCCACCTTACCACAACCCCCACTTGTCCTCTTTGTTTATTTACGTAAACCAACTTTTGAATTTAAGGTAGAGATACTTTTGCAGTAAGTGATAGAAGAAGGTGGAAGTATACATAATCTAGCTAATGTGTAAGGTTCTTCCAATTCTTAAATAGCCAATAACTATGATTCTAAGACAAGATTGAAAATACAGTGTATTTCATATCTGGATATGTTGTCCGTAGCTCCAAACCTACATTTTTACCTGCCTGCTGGACATTTCATGTGGATATCTCCATATCTTGATTTCTTTTGATTCACTATTGAATTATTTATAGATGCATCCAACTTGTGCTCTCTTACTCTTACCTGAGGCTCTTTGGACATGCTAGTCCCCTCACCTTTCTTTGCCTGATCCAACACTACTCATCCTTCTAGACTTACTCAACCTGGACTATCACATCAGGGCTGAGTTGGATATTACTCCTTTGTTTTCTTTTCGCGCCCCATCCTAGCTGTGTGAGTTTTAAGTTCCTATTTACTTGTCTATAACTAGATTGGATGCTGTTTGAGAACAGGGATAGTATCTTACCCTCATTTTATTCCCCATGCGTACAGTGCTAGATACCTAGTGGCCACTCAATTTGAATAAATAGGTGAGGGGATATACAAACTAAAACTATCACTTCTCTCCTCCACCTACCATTTAAGTTTTTCTTAATGGCTTTATTACTGCATTTGACTGGTTTGAAATGTTAGAATCATCTCTGGCTTCTCTGTATTACTGCCCACACTCAGGTAGAGCCTTTATGTTCAATTCCTTTTAACATATTCTTCTAGTCTGTTCCCTCCTCCAACTTCTCTAAGTCTCCTTTCTCAGACTACTGTGATAATTTCTTAATTGAATTCACTACCCCTCACCTCACCGTCTGTTTCTCAAATCTCACGAGTTTTTGGCTACCTCTTAACATGTCACACTTGGAAGAACTGTTGATGTCTTTGGAATTTGGCCTATGCTAAAATGCATACTTTTTATCACGGAATTGACAGCGATTGATTTCTGGTTTATCCTGCTTTTCTGACTGGATTGTCTACCATAATCTTTTATCTTCTTTATTCTTTAGCCAGACTGGACTGCTGCTTTTGCTCAATATGGATGGAATGTCCCACTGTTATCTATTTCACTGCATCTGTGAATCTAAGTTCTATCTTATCTATTGCACAAATATATCATGCCTACTATAGATCAGGTATTGCCCTTGACACTCAAGTTAAAAAGGTAAATGACATAATCAGGAAAGACTAAATAAGAACATGATGGGAAGTAGCAGGGCATGTCTGGAGAGACAACTGGTTTGTGGACAGTTTTTATATATGTTAAGCTAAGGAATTTGAATTTTATCTTGTGAAGTTGGAAGCCATCAGTAAGGTTTCTTTTGTTTGTTTGGTTTGTTTTATTTGTTTGTTTTGAGACAGGGTCTCACCAGGCTGGAGTGCAGTGGTGCGATCTTGGCTTACTTCAACCTCTACCTCCCCAGCTTAAGTGATCCTCCCACCTCAGCCTCCTGAGTAGCTGAGATTATAGGCACACACTGCCACACCTGGCTAATTTTTGTATTTTTTTGTGAAGATGGGGTTTTGCCGTGTTGCCGAGGCTGGTCTTGACCTCCTGGGCTCAAGCCATCTGCCTGCCTCAGCTTCCCAAAGTGCTGGGATTACAGGGTGAGCCACTGTACCCAGCCAGTAAGTTTTAAGTAGGGGAGTAACAGCACATTTGAATTTTAGAAAATTCACTTTGGCCATAGAATGGAAAATGGTTTGGAGAAGAATGAGACACAAAGTGAGGAGAATAGTTAGAAGCCTAGTTTAATAGTCCAGTCAAGAGACAATATACATTTGAATTAAGGATGCATTTGAATTAGGACAGAAATGTGGATATGGATTTTATTTTAAAGATGTTTACAAGGCAAAATTGACAGGCCTAGTAACTCACTGAGTGATTTGGGGAATGGTAATGGAACAGTAATAGTCTTGTTTCTGACTTGAATGCCTTTAGTCAGGATAGAGAATATAGGAGAAGCTTTTAGGATGGAGAGAGGAATGGCATAATAAGATGATTTTTGGATATGTTGACTTAAAGGTTATTTTGGGTTATTCAAGTGAACTTCTCCAAGTGGCTGTTCATTGTTGGTGTCTGATGAAGCAGATTCAGAAATTCTAGGTGTGTAATTAAAGCCATAAGTATAAATGAAGCCTGTATCTGTACTAAGACTTATACATGACTGTTCATGGCAGCTCTGTTCAGTCAAAAACTAGAAACAATCTGATGTCCATCAACAGGTGAATGAATAAGCTAATTGCGATAAAGCCAAACAGTGGAATACTACTCGGCAATATAAAGGAACAAACTGGCTGGGTGTGGTGGCTCACGGCTGTAATCCCAGCACTTTGGGAGGCCAAGGTGGGAGGACTGCTTGAGCCCAGGAATTCCAGACTAGCCTAGGCAACATAATGAAACCCTGTCTCTACAAAAAACTTAAAAAATTAGCCAGGTATGGTGGCATGAGCCTGTAGTTCCAGCTGCTTGGGAGGCTGAAATGGGAGCACTGCTTGAGCCTGAAGAGTTCAAGGCTACAGTGAGCTGTGATTGTGCCACTGTACTCCAGCCTGGGTGAAAAATTGAGACCCTGTTTCAAAAAAAAAAAGAACAAACTTGATACAAATGACAACATGGCTGAATCTCAGAATACTTACACTAAATGAAAGAAGGGAAACTAAAAAAGAGTATATACTGGATGATTCTATTTATAGAACATTCTAGAAGATGCAAACTAGTGCAGATCAGTGGTTGTTTAGGGAGGGGCTTTTTATGTTTATTTATCTTGATTGTGCCGATGGTTTCAGGGGTGTATGCATATGCTGAAATTTATCAGGTTGTAAGGTTTAAATATGTGCAGTTTATTGTCTGTCAGTTGTACCTCAATAAAGGTATTTTAAAAAGTAAATGAGACTACATGCTGAAAATGATTTGAGTAAGACTGAAAAAGGGCTGGCATAATAAGTGGGAGAGGAAAAATAGTGTATAGGGAGATAGCAGAGGAAAAGGAATGATGGATGAAAGGGGACTGAGAAGGAAGGAGTCAGGCAGAAGGAATGAAACCC